TACAAATTATGTGAACTTGGGCAAGTTACTTCACTCCAGATTCTTCATGTGAACTGTGGGGAGAATAATCAGCTATGATCTGTTGACGACTTATTACAGACTTTTCATACTTTACTTTATTTAATCCTTATCATAATCATAGAGACAGACAGAGGTTGAGTTAGAATTGGATCCCTGTCCAACCTGACCCCGGTCCACGTGAACATTATCTTCTCACTCTACCGCATTCACTTTTCCTATTTTTCTCCCCTGATAACCTATCTTGCTGAACTGTAGTAAGGCTTAGAGATGATGCGTGCAACTTACCTAGAAAGGTGTTCAGCAAGTTGAGACTTTAAGTAATTAGCACTTATCATTATCATGTGAGGTATTATTTGCTGGTCCAATGTTCGTTCAGTCTAGGAATCCCCTACAACTCCCTTACAGCAGGTCTCCAACCTCTGCTTGAATACGGGGTAAAGTTATAGCCTCAAAACTCTGTAATACAAACCCATGAGGATGCAATGAAGAACGCTGAGCGTGGGCATGGTGACTGAGAGCACAGAAAAGCACCATCCAGACCACCCAGCCAAAAGGCCTAACTGCTGAAGTGTCGTGTGTGACAGCAAAAACGAACTGAAGGTTAACAGTAAATCTGGAATGACATCTCGCCAAGAAGCAAGGGGGAAAGTACAATTCTAACGTCAGGATGCATTCATCTGTGGAAATCTAACACTCAGTGTCTTGCAGAATAAAACGAAATGATATCTATGCTTGTTATATTATACCTAAAACTGTAAGCTCGAGTTGGTTCAATGTATACCGACAGAAAGCTCATGCCAAAAAAGTTAGCCCATTTTCTTCTGCATTAAATCATATGCCATCAGCAGTATTCAAAGATAGTCACCTTCCCTACCATCCGCCTTTTAACTTCTTGCAATCTGACTTCCACTCTCACTACATACCAAAATGCGCTCCCCTAATACCCTATGACTCCAGAACACCAAATCCAAAAGGTTTTCATAGACCTCATCCCTAGAGCTTTCTTTTTATTAAGAACATTTTGCGGACCACCTTCATTTTTTTTAAAAAGTAGTTCTTGCTTGAGCATTCAAACATTGCAGTGTCCTGGTTTTTCCTTTGAACGTCACTCTCAGTTCTGACTCTCCTCCTTCATCCCACTCCCTAAACATGGATATTTCTAAAGTGGTTCTTGCCTCACTCTCGTATCCACTATTTTTCTGCCTCTACGATTTCAATTCTCACTCTGTGACAGTTTGGCTATGTAACTGTTGCCTCCAACTATGACACAACCTCAGATTCCCAATGTCATGCTTCCAACTGTTTGCTACAGTATTCCAGTGAAATAATTCGTCAAGATCACAAATTCAACATAACTGAAATTCAACTTATCATTTACCCTCCTGACTTTCTTCTGATCAGTTTTATCAAGCCAAAAACTTTGGTTTTATCTTTGTCTTCTTTTTCAACTTCAGCTGCTATATCCAATTAGCTCCAAGATTTGTGCTGGATTTTCACCTCAGTATCCTTCCATTTTACTCCCTGACCGTTTTTTTTTTTTTTTTTTTTTTTTTAACTTTAATCTGGCCACAGCTCTATCCATGGCCACAGACTTTGAATGTAAATCCAATATAGATCAAATTCATCTCCCACCCTCTGCTTCAAGACTTCTCTCTTATTAATTTCTCATCTACTAGTGTCATCCCTGGTTTTCCCTCTTTGTCTGCCCAAGTTTTGCTTGGCACTTGTAGCAAATCCTATTAGTGAGTTGACCCAACTTTCCTTTTCAATCACATTTTCTTTGGTTCACTTCCAGCTGTGGGGTAACTATTGACACAGTCTGGCCAATGATACATGAGCAGAAGTCTGCTATGAAATTCAGGGGAAAATTTTTGTTTTCTTCATACAGACTCTTCTATCTTTATCCTCCCTGCTGATATAGATATAGATGTGATGGTTGGACTTGAAGCAGCCTTCTTACAATCATGAAGGAAAGCCCAAGAGATTCACAGAGACTTCTATAGTAACATCATTGAATTATATAAATAACACCAGCAACTACATTCTCCAGACTTCTTGTTATGTGAGAAAAATAAACTCATATCCTGGTCTCCATAGAAAACATAAAGCATTTTCCCATATTTCGGTGAGCCCTTTGGAATTTCTTCTTTGGCTCACCAACTTAGCCCCTCCCCACTGCTGACTTCTCATTCTGACACTGAGCTTTCTGCAGACCATTGTGAGATGAGATTACAGAGGTAGGCAAGGGCCAGATCTTGAAGATCCATGGAGGCCAAGCAAAGTGGTTTGGATTTTATTCTAAGCTTTAAAATAGGGAGTAACAATCTAATTTACAATGATGTCTCTGGCTGCTCTGTAGAAAATGGATTATACAGGGTCAAGAGTAGAAGCAAGATTAATTGGAAGACTACCACAGTAATCAAGAACATGAGATGACAGTAGGTTGAATTTGGTGGTAGTAGTAGAGAGAGAAAGTGGACACATTTCTAGTTTCTGTAGTATTAAGCATGGTATCTTAAACACGGTGGATGCTCAATATATATTGCTAAATACACATCTGAGTGTTTCAGAATAGTTTCACCTTCTTAATTTCTAAATTATCTTCAATTTTTTCCTGCTTTGATTCACATATTATGGCTTAATATATTCCTGTATGACACTTGGGGAGCCAAAAAGAAGAAAAAAAGGACCTCATATTCAAGGAAACGATATAGACCCCATAATGGAAAGTCAGCTAACAAAGAAGTAAAATGATTGAGCATCATATTCTTACGTTAATTATAGAAAGAAATAAATTACTTGAAATAAATGGTAAAAAGTGGAATTCAAAATCTATCATAGAATGAAAATGGATAGGGTATTCAAACACAAAGATCTACATTTTAAAAAAGAGAGTTTCCGTCAGCGTCAGCTGGAATAGCATGCCTACAGAGGATGTGGGTAAAGTTAATTTTCATTAAAATTGAAGACTTTTCCAGTTCTAACTTACTTTTGATTTTCCTGGAAATATAAAACCTTCATTTTACTATCTTGATATGATAAATTTCCTAACGAATAGCTAATATTATCTTACTAGAAAGTAATGTTTATAACATTCTAAGAGCCCTGAACATGACCTGCCTTGTTTCTGAATTAGGAATCTGAGAAAAGAGAGGCAATTTGGTAGGTTCTCATTCTCCTTCACATATACTTCTCAGGACATTCAAATTTTTACCTACGAAGATTCATTCTGCATTATGAATTCAACCCAAATTCCTTCAATACAAAGCACAATCCAGGGGAAAATGAGATCAATTTTTGCCACTTTCCACCTGAAATGCTAAATGGCCCTTGAATCATGTGAAACTTGGCCCCAGTCAGTGTGAAAACTGGCTGAATTCTGTATGAAAGGCAGTCTGGGTTCGTCAAAGTAGTTCATGAACTTTGGCCAAACTTGCAAGGAACCTGGTCCAAGTCTGAGTTTGTAATGCAACATGAAACCAGGTGAATTTCACACGGTTTCAGGTTTCACTCTGAAAATTTGGCCTAGCTTTATAATCAATCATCACTTTTTCGAACGATGAAAGCCAATACACCTTTTTGAAAATGAGGACTGCGTGCATACTGATGACAGTTAAGCTGTGAACCACCCCTTCACTTCCTTTGCCAAAAGATTTCTCAGATTGGAAACAGTTTCCCTCTTACCTGGAAAGGGCAAGTTGAGTGATTTTCATATTGCGTTAAGAAATGATACTCAATACATGGAGGCATGCCATGTGAAACAATCACCACCTACAGAGCAAGTGGCTATACTCTGATCATTTAAGGTTATGAGAATTTTATTCCATTCACATCTATGACAGATATCGTGATGTTTAATCTCCTTGACCATTAAGATGAGCTTTTAGCTTGAAGCTAGTCATCAGCTAGAACCACTGCCACGAGAGAAACAAAATGCTCTGAGCCATAATCATTATTTCTACATAAAGAAATGGCTGAAGAATGAAAGGAAAGTAAATCATAGTATAACTCTTATCTAGTTTAATAAACATGAGGAGATAAGACTACAAACTTTTCAAGTTTGCATAACTACATCCTTTGAATAAAACCTCTACCGCACTGTAAATGAATTCAATAATTAACTGTGCAGTCTGCTTTACAAAAAACCTACACAGTTTCTGTTCTAAACCTGAAAGTTTTAAACATGCTTTTCCACAGTAAAAAATGACTCTCTTCAACCAAATACTCGTTTTTGTGCTTAGTGACATGAGAAAATTGAGAGGTATGTCTGAACGGAGCCACTACATCATTGGAACAGTATGTCTGAACATTTGGGTAATAAGGCACAGATGTGAGGCTGAGGACTTGGCACTACCAAGGTAAGAACAAAGCATTCACCACCGCGTTCTAATGGTTGAAAGAGCGCATTTTAGAAGAATAAAAGAAAGCCCCTCCTCTCTGGAATGTAAATTATATTACACCTTTTCTCTGCTTGAAAATTTACTTAAAAAAACAAGAAATTAAAATAAGTATTATTCAAACTTATGATGAATAAAAATATAAAAGGCATTAATATTTTCATCTATAATATAACATATTTATGCAATAGCACATAAAGTTTAACTGCAGAAAAGGTCTACTTCGACAGGAATCCACATGGATTCTACATTGCAAAACAATGACGCAAACCTGCAAGACCAACAGCCATTGGAAAGGTGGCGGTTGCGGACTTTTTTTTTGGTAGTGATTCTGGCTTTTAATCAGTAGGGCTAATTATTGTAGAGTGTCCCATTTATAGGAATCAGGTTAAGGTAGTACAACAGGATACACACATTAGTTATCATTAAGGCTATCTCACAAGTGGTACGGTGTTTTGTCCACCATCACTAAACCATGTGACACAAAGGCAGTTATGAAGCCGAGGCTACTTTGATTCAATAAGTGTGAAGCTGAAAACTCATTTTCTGCCCAGGATTGGAGAAGAACAACTTACCCGAGGTCCCTGATCCCCTTGTTCTCCCTATAGAGTAGGAAAATGAGATGATAGATAGTTTTAGCACAAAGCCTATAGAGGATGCCCATTAAAAAGATCAAAAGAAGACTTAAGTCATGTCAATACGCATTTCCACTAACTTAATTTGTTTCTGCTATATGTTTTCTTACCTTATCACCTTTTGGACCAGGTGGGCCCTGAAATAAAGAAAGAGAAAAAAACATTTTTTAAATAAATAAAAAAATACTGTAGCTTGCATAGATCACCTAGAGTTAGTTGTAAGATTCATGCAAAGGGCACGGAGATATATCTATCAATATGTTTCTCAAGGAATTTGGGGTTCTAAACTATAACTGTAATATGGCTAGAATGTGGAAATGGTATAATATATGTATACATGTCATAAGTACATAATACGCTGAATAAATTTTCACAAGCTGAACTTGACTAATGCAAGTAGAACCAGCTACAGAAACCCAGAAGCCCTTGTCACTACTCTCCACCAACAGTAATCATCATTCCAACCTCTGACAGAATACATTAGTTTGCCCATTTTGTAATTTATATGAATGGAATCATACAGTATGTTTGAAATTTATGCATAATTTTGTGTATAGTTGTAGACCATTCTTACTGCTTTATAATATCCCACTGTGTGAATAAACCATAACTTATTTATTCATCCTACTGTTGATGGCCATTTGTTTCCAGGAGTTTCTAGGTCTTGGCCATGACAAATCGTGCTGCTATAAGCACCCTAGTGTATGTCTTTTGGTGAAAAATTGTATGCAGTTCTGTTGGGTGTATATCTAGGAATGGAACAGTTACATTACAGAGAATACATACGTTTGGATTTAGTAGATTTTGCCAAATAGTTTTTCAATGTGGTTTTAACAATTAAACTCCCATCAGCAATGTATGAGAATTTTCAGCTTCCCTAAATCATCACCAGTACTTGGAATTTTCCATCTTTTTCATTCTAGACGTTCTGGTGAGAGGTGTAGTAGTTTCACATTGTGCTTTAATTTGTATTTCTCCAGTGATTTTGTTGAATTTCTTTTACTACACGTACTGGCCATTTTGCATCCTCTTCCGTAAAGTGTCTGTTCACATCTTTTCCCCTTTCTCTATTGAGTTGTCCTAGTATTTGCTGGAGTTCTTTATACATTATATGTTGTCAATAAATAGACAAAGATATAGATGAGAGTTCTTTACATATTCTGAATCTGAGTCTTTTGTCCTGAAAGGATATATTTATTGCACATATATTATCCTACTCTGCATATTGTGTTTACATCCTCTTAAAGGTGTTTTTCATGAAAAGAAGTTGTTAATTTTAATAAAACTCAATTTCACATTTTCTCTCTCTCTCTTTTTTTTTTTGTGAGGAAGACTAGCCGTGAGCTAACACAATGCCAATCCTCCTCTATTTTTGCTGAGGAAGACTGGCCCTGGGCTAACATCTGTGCCCATCTTCCTCTACTTTATATGGGATGCCGCCACAGCATGGCTTGACAAGCGGTGCGTCGGTACACACCCGGGATCCGGGCCTGCAAACCCTGGGCCACTGCAGCCGAGGGTGCGCACTTAACAGCTGCGCCACCGGGCTGGTCCCCATTTTTTGTTTATAGTTATCTCTTTTAGTGTCCCACTTAAGAAATCTTTGCCTCTTCCAAAGTCATAAAGAGGTTTTTCTATGTTTATTTTAAAAGCTAAAATTTTATTATTTTATCTTTCATATTTAGATCAATGGAGATCAATGGAGAATTGATTTCGTGTGTGATGTGAGGTCAAAGTCAAGGTGTTTTTTTTCCCATGTGGATATCAAATTAACCCAACACCATTGATTGAAAATGCATCTTTTCCCCATTGTTATACAGTGTTATCAGATGTTGTTGTAAATCAGATGACCATATACATAGGATCTTCTTAGGAATTTCTATTTTGTTGGGCAGCTGTCTATTCTTGAGCCACACTGAGATTTTCTTTATCTTTGAACAAAAATATTAGCAATAAATATTAATTCTAGAGGCATCAGTAATTTTTTTTCTAGTTCTTAAAGATGAAGTCATGTTTTGGGGCTCAGCCCACTCGGGGAATTGGAACATTTCAGAGTTACCTTCAGGCTCTCACCTTCATCTTTAGCAGGGCCAGGAGAGAAGGACAAGTCGAGACAGGCAGTAAAGCCAAGGTTCTAGCAAAGTGTCCCTTCTTAGGTCCCAGTGGAGACTGCTATGTCAGTTCAGGTGGGAAGGTGGAGTGCTCTGCCTACCAAAATATCTCCTGCTACGTTTCAGCTACAGAGGAGCTGTACCAAATTCCTATTCTCAGTTGTGGCACTTCTGGTAACAGCTGCAATGTTATCATGAAATTAATAATAACAATAACATCATGTCTTGTATTTTGTATATTTTACCATCAACAAAGAACTTTCACCTGTTACCACATTTAATCTTCTCCCAATCCAATGAGGAAAGTATTATGATACTCCTTTTACAGATGCCAAAAATAAAACTCAAAGATTACCAAGGTTAGGCCTCTTGTGAGTGAGTTATCCAGGACTTTAACCTAGTCTGTGTGACTTTAACTGCAGTGGTTTGGGATCTAAGCGTTGGGACACAGCTCGAGAACTAGATTCTCAGAGAGAATGATGGCCATGTATCTGGTGCCTGCCTTCAACAGGTGCCTTCTGAATGCCTCCCAATTGCAACTTTACAGTGTCATGGACAGGGGCCCCAAGATCTCACGTTCCAAATGAGACAAAGAGGAACTGTAGAGAATCGGGGAGGGGATAAGGTGGCTAGGATAATGGAATCAACTAGACGACTCTTCTCTCTATTACCCCAAAATAATTTTGCCATTACAAAAAGGGAAGGTAAGAAAATTATTTTTCTTAATGTGTGCCTACTTCTGTAAAATTAAGTTTAAGGAATTTATTTTAACACACACAAAGTGCTCACTAATGCTCTACAAGAAGGATTTTAGTTTTGGTGGGGCCAAGGAAACACAAAGAAAAGAATGAGAGGATACCTACCATCAAGTTTAAGAAATACAATGGCGATTCTAGTCTTGATGTAATTAAGTAGCATGTTATTTAGCTCTATTTTGACTTTTATACAAATTTGTTGAATGCCTATAAAGAGTGGCAATGTTCTAAGCACTGGTGGAGGATATAGTGGGAGAAGCTGATTTATAAAAACTAAATAATCTGTTCTGGAAAAGCTAAATAGTCTAGTGCCAAACACTCCTCATATACTAGCGTTAAGAAAAATGACCTCTAGAAAATCCAGCTACTGTAAGGTCACTTAGAGTTGCTGTGGACCCCTCCCTAGCTACTCCCTCCCCTGAAAGCTTCTCTTTAAAGTTTTGTTTGCTTTTGCTTGGCGAGATTTCAGAGTCCAAGCCTTTCATTGTATCAGTCCTCCAAAGGCACTTTGTTAGGTTAAAGGGCATGTTTGAGGCGAAAGCTTTTCTGAAATATTTTACAGTGGGGAACAGAGATGAGTCTTTTTCCCAAAGTCCAATTACTAATGCCAAAGCCACATGTGTCCACTAGGGCTCTGTAGACAGCTTTCTGTAAGCAAGGATGCTTAATTCATGAACACATGAAAATTTGCATTTACAATTGAGCAATAAATACTGCTGCTTCAAAAGGGGGTGTTTCTGAGCAGACAGAATGGCGTCCTGGCACCTGCCGGCTCAAGACAGAACCGAAGCCGAGGTCAACCTCCACTCACAGCTGTGGCGGCTGCTTCGGACACCCCAGACCCCATTTGTGCTCTCGGGATTAATGGCAGGTGTTTTATTCTGCTCTGACTGAAACCCCACTCTTCTTTCTGAATTGGACCCTCTTCACTGCAAATATGGGTTGAATTTGAAGAAAAACGTGAGCCACTTTAGTAAACAGATAGTATTTCAAAATTTGGGAGCCATGGCTCTCTTCTAAGTCAAAACATTACAAAGGAAAGAAAGGTTTCTTAGATTATTAACTTTTAAAATTAAAGCTGGGTCATTATTTAAGGTATTTATTTATTTATTTATTTATTTATTTTTGTCTTCAGAGTAAAAAAACCAAAACACACTGGTATCAACTAAAGGATAGGCAGCAATATAAATTAATAGATTATTTGAATTACGGAGTAGTATTTTACAGTGGCATTTTGTTGCTTCCAACTACACCAAGCTAACAATCTAATATTTAGTGGACATATTCATTGTTCAGGTATCAGTATCAATGCCAGTTGGTAACTATTTGAAGGTAAAACTTTGTTGCTAAAACAAGGCTGAGGTCAATGGAAAGGAGATACGGTAAAATTAGTGGTCATAAATAAGCGAAAAGTGAGTCACAGGCTTTATATGAGGCTTCTTGGGGATTCCTGCCCTTCTGGTCTGGTCTAGTACATTGGAGTCAGATCTTTTAATGTCTACTTTAATAAATAAATAAGAATATTTAAAATTATCTTTCTAATTAGTTTTATGTAATTAGCCCTAATTACATAAATTTGAAAGGTGCTAACAAAGTCTTCATTATTACTGCTATTACTCAGTAGCTGGAACATTTGTTTTAGAGCATTGTTAGAGCGTTATTAATTTACTACCACAGTATTTATAAATTTCAGTGGCAAACTTCAAATTAGCCCCTATTCAAATGACTTCAAATTCAGAATTTACAGTAACAATATTTCTATTTGTATCAAGCCTTTAATGTGGGTCTTGGCTTATATCAATTTCAGTTTCCCCAAACCTATTTCTATCCAAATAACTAAGGTTTTAACTCTTTTTCCATGCTCTATTATCTATTTCAATTAAATGATAAAACCAAACTAAAAGTACAATGAATAAGAGGTACAATAAATGAGATTCCGGAAAATACTGGATTTCAACCTACATAAAAGTAATTGGAAAATAGCTGGAAAAGACACATATATTCAGAGGGGTTGGATGTCCCAGGAACAGCCTTTCATTCACTAGAACTGTAAATTTTGCCCACTTTGAACTGGCAAAAGCTAGAGAGGGAATAATTTTGAAAAGATGACAATCACGATAACAAAATTAAATTCTGCTAGAGGTAGAAAAAATGGAAAAAGAGTAAACCCTGGAAATTCTTGGCAGCCAGAGCTGCTGGAATAAGAGTGGAGTTATGAATTCTATCCCAGAAAAGTGTAGATCGTTTTTATTTTTGAAATATAACAAACCA